CGCTAGATACCTCTTGAGAAAACATCAATGAGTTCTATGAAATGTTAATACTTTCAGTTACTTATGTTTCAAATCAACTGAAGAGTAATTCTGTTGGTGGATTTAAAAGTATTTCCTTTACGATATAGTAAAATATCTCAAAATATAGTAAAATATCTCAAAAATTAAGTCAAATTCCAGCTTATTTTTTAGTATCGCTCCCTGTTTTAATTGGAAAAATCCAGCAATATTTTTTTCAAATTGAATTCTACTGGATCTTTTTTATGATATACATGACTACTTTCACTAAATGTTCATATTCTTAGGGATTACAAAATCTAAGTATAATCTAACTTCTTTAATTTCACCCTGTCATAACTGACAAAATTGAGTCATTTTTTTTTGTTGAACTTTACTGGAAATAGTCCTATAACATATTGTTTGAAATACATTTTGAATCAAATATATTGATTGCGGAGTCATTATTGCTTGAACATGAGAATGGATATAAAAAAAAATAAACATGAATAGAATTAGAACTGTTGATGATAGTTGGAGAAGATTCCTATGGTGTGAATTCAAAAATATAGTTTTAAAAAAACTAAAAAACACGCTTTTAAAGAACATCGAACTAAAAAGTTAAAAATATTTTTTTTAAAATAAGCTTAAAACAATAACGATCGAAAAATACTAGCGTTAGAACATCGAACGATCGTAAAATACTAAAATAATTGTGAAAAAAACTTGGGCGCTTTGTGACATATTTTTTGTATATCCAGTGCAGACGCTTTTTTTACAATATTATTTTTCACTTTTCAGTTCGATGTTCTTTAAAAGCGTGTTTTTTTAGTTTTTTCAAACTGTATTTATTTTTAAGTTTTTAGTTCGATGTTCTTTAAAAGGGTATTTTTTAGTTTTATTAAACTTAAATTATTTTTTACTTTCATATGCTATAAAAGCATTTTTTAGTTTTTCAAACTATATTTATTTTTCAAATCAATCTTTTGATTTGATATGTATGTCAAGCACCTTAATTCTGATTTTTCGATTTTTTGAAATATTTAAGTATGTAACTGAAATTTTCAGGTGTACATTTTACAATAACGTTTTCATTGTTGAAATCCATATTCTGATTTGCTTTCAAATAATCGAATTAGATTTTAAAATGTAAATTTAGTTTCGTTCAAAACTTTTTATCTAAATATTTCATCTGTAGTACAAAATTTTGCTAACACTTATAATTTTTAAAATCCAATTTTAATTTTGATTTTCTTTTGAAAAACCTATCAACGAGGTAACGTACAGCTCCATCTGCCCGCGAATAGATCAAGCAATAATAATGTCGACAATTCTGTCAATTCAGATTCCGAGCTTGGGAGTTACAAGCAAACAAACATACATACATACATACATACATACATACATACACACATACATACATACAGGTAAAGCTGAAATAAAGCGTGTGAAAAGAGGAATAACTTGGGATGAACGAGTAATGTAGAGTGAAAATTGGGAAAGAAATATCATTATTATTAACTAATTACAGATTGAAGAAAAGAGAAAAACTTTCTATGTTTTTTACCACTTTTATTTGTATCTAACGTTACTGCAGTTTTGTCCTATAAGGACATTTTCAAAGTTATATGTACCTACATTAAACTAACAATGATTGATTATACATTAGCCCTATATAACACCACTGTAGGTAATAATATATAAGTGGTGTTATATAAGGGCTAATGTAATCAATCATCGTTAGTTTAATGTATAACTTTGAAAATGTCCTTATAGGACGAAATGCAGTAAAGTTAGTTACGAATAAAAGTGGTAAAAAACATAGAAAGTTTCAATTCTGTTTTTTCCATTATGATTTCCTACCACGTAGTTAACATCAATTTATAATTACAGATTTTTAGGCGTTTTTATAAGTGTTTGGTCAAGATTTTAACAGACAACTGAGAAAAATATATTGGACAAAAGTAACACAAAAATCAACCGAAACCAAAAGGTTCGAAAGAATTCATTTCTTTCACTCCTTCAGACTCAACATTGATGCGACGTCAATCCAGTTTTCAAAATAACAGTTATCAGTTTCGAAACTCTAATTTCGTCTATTGAAATATGCAAAACTTCAGAACCACAGAACAATAGTTATACTCTAGTCAATGAAAGACAGAGTAATAATATCTTTTTATAATTCGAAACTGAAAATATCGACAGCTGTTGTTTGTGTACGCCTGGAAAATATTAGTTCAGAAAAAAAGAATATTTGTCAGCACACCATGATTAGCTAGCTATATTGTTGTTCAATTGACATTTGCAGACGTAACTTATTGAATTGCATATGATTGAGGGATGACTAAATAGGGTTTCAACTTTTTCACTGAAAACTTAAGACGAGAAAACTTTGAGTAATTACCTCCTGGTAAAAAGTATAGACGATATACAGCGTGACTCACGGTCGATGTTAGGTTAGACGTTTCTGGAGAAACGTAGCAATTATATTTTTTTAAATGGAACACCCCGTATAATAATACATTTTTGTAATTGCTCTAGTATTTTAATACTTTTTTGTTAATAATGTCCTATACCTATCTCTATCTGTTTTCGAGATAAAAAATAAATTGTGCTAAATATGGTCCAAAACATAGCCTTAATTGAAATTAAGTACATCAGTANATTGGCCACCGAGATCACCCGATCTCACGCCACTTGACTTTTTTTATGGGGTGTTTTAAAAGAAAGGGTATACAGTACTCCAGTGCCTACCAAAGAAGAATTGCGACGGCGAATAGTGCGGAGTATTGAAGATGTGGATCCCCAGAAAATTGAAAAAGCAACCACAAGTCGCATACAAAAAAACATTTTAAACTGTTATGAATGTAATGGACAACATTTTCAGCATTTATTGTGAAAATGTGATGTTTTGTTTACAATTTTGTTATTTTGAATCATCCTATTCTGTTATTGTCTGTACTTTCACATGTTTTAGCCCACGAAATCTTACTTTTCACCTAGAAATGACTGATTTTTGGTACAGTTGTTCCCTGGAAACTTTGAGCCATAGTTAAGGAAATTATTTTGTACCCTTACAAACTTCCTCTCGTTCATTGGTGTTAATTCAGGATACATTTGGTTGAATTTTTTACACGTTCTGACAATGAATTGATCACTTTGTACATGTGTATAATAAATAATTTCATAAGAACTTCGTTTGTATAATCGATATTTGCATTCATTTTGAAAGATGATTCGAAACACCGTCGATAACTCTTTGTAAATTACTTATAAGAGTAACCGAACTGCTATAAGCTTGATAATTCCACTGCTACCTAAATCCAAATTCTAAAAAAAAAAAATGTTTCTAGAAGAAGCGACTTTATTGAGAAAACTTGACGATTAAGGTATAGGGACATGATATATCATCTTGAAGCGTTTTTCACCACCTTTCAATTTACCGAGTGATATACAGGGGGTTTCATTTGAAGAAATGAACTTTTGACTACTTTTATGCACAATGGAAATAATAGTAATTTTAGCACGCCCTGTATGATATGGAGTCGATTTTTTGGTGTTATTTGAATATTTCGAGTTTGTCCAAATCATCATCAAAATATCAACTTTTCATAAATTGAGAGTACCTACTGTTGTACCTACTTAATTTCAATTAGGGCTATGTTTTGGACCATATTTAGCAAAATTTATTTTTTATCTCGAAAACAGATAAGAGATAGGTATAGGACATTATTAACAAAAAAGTATTAAAATACAAGAGCGATTTCAAAAATTTATTAATATACGGGGTGTTCCATTTAAAAAAATAAAGTTGCTTGGACTTTTTGATGGAAGTGGCAACGCCGCAATGCTGAAAATATTTTAGATCGATAGGACAGGTAAGAAAATGTGAGAGGTGAAATTTTCAGAGGAATCATGCTTTGCGTTTTACAGAAACGTCTAACCTACCATCGACCGTGAGTCACATATAAATGAGTCACATGCACATACAAAAATCAACTTCCCAAAAAATCTGCACTCTCCTTTCTTGAATATACTGAATTATTTGTAATCAGTCTTGAAATTTTTGAAATAAATGTATAACTTTCACCTTCTTTCTTATAAGACTTTAATCCTCGACGACTCTCCATGTCAGTAGCATGCTGACATCTCAAATTTTCAAAGTCTGATATTTCGAAAACAAAACCTTTACCAATCATATCGAAATAAAAATAAAAGTCTCCAGGAAACTTTTGAGTTGCTCGTAGAGAAGTACCGGGCGATTAAAACAAATTTGAAACGATTCTTTTAGACAATCTTGGGGAATAGTTATTCATGTCTTCTGTTTCATTCATATCAAAATAACACCTAAACGAAATATAGGATTTCATAAATATCCTTATCTACTAGAGTTGTGGCTTGGTAAGTTTACCGTTACTACGATAGTAACGTTCAGTTGTTTCGAATGAAATACTGGTTTAAAATTCAATAAGATCTATCAATATACAGAAAAAACTATCGCTATGAAATTAAAACTTAAACGAGTTCCAAAATGAAAATGATGAATAGTTGACAACTTAAAACATTGTCTACTTTCAGTATCAAGAAAAATAACAGTAGATACTAATGATAACAAACGCTTGATATTATCAGGTACTTTTCAACAAATTTTCTCTAAAAAACTATACATTTTCATAGTTATTCAACAAAAACATCTTTATCGAGGGAGGTCAAAGGTAGCTAATAGCAAATATGTTGTATTAGATACATAATAATTTCCATTCTTCACTTATATCTTTTAGTTTGTGCTGAAATTGAAATTTATTAGTGATGGTTCCTCATGAAACAATTTATTCCTCGGGTAAAATTCCTTTTGTCATTAAGTCTCTATATTTCATCAAGATAAGTTAATCAGACTGAATCTACAACTGAACGATTCATTTTACTAAATAGGCTCTTTATTTAACGATAATGAGATGTTTGTCAATAAAAATGATTTCGGTTTATTAATAATAAAAACTTACCATATTCCCGGCTCCAGCATCAAATGTATAGTTTCAGGTGCCTCGAATCTGTGTCCTACAAAATAAAACAAATGTTCACACTTCAACTATGTTTCAGTCACAAAAAATATAATGCACTATTTATACCTCAATCCGTCTTTGTTTCAAATTTGATTTCTGGGAAATCAGCCCGCAAATCATAGAACATACCAGAAAAGTATTAAGAAGTAGCAATGCAGACCCCCATTATTAATACGCCATCTATGGGATTGTCAGAAAACTCAAACCACAATTATTAAAGCGGTTGTCACTGTAAGCATGAGGAATTTTACAAGAAATCTATTTCTTTTGAATGTTAAAGCAGCACTTTCCATGGAAGGCCATTTTACTTTTTATTGTGCCCCTCTATCAAAAAAGTTAAATCAGAATTAGCACCACTGAGTTAATCTTTCTTTTTCAACATGTTTGGTACCTAATAATGCTATAATTGCCACAGTAAGCCATTATTTGAAGCAGATAAAAAATACCAAATGACGAATTATAGACCAATTTCACTTTTACCAGTTTTGTCTAAAATTATTGAAAAATCAGTACATTCTAGATTGTTGGAATATCTTGAAAAGACAAAATTATTATATGATGGGCAATACGGATTTCGAAAAAATTGTGACACAGATTCAGCAGTATGTCATAACCCAATCACAGCTAGATTTAGATTCAAACAAAAACTGTGGAGTTCTTTCATTAGATCATGAAATTCTTGTAAAAATAATGCATAATATAGGTATCAGAGGTTTAGCTTATAATTGGTTTCAAAAAAGTTACAAATGTATCAAAATTAATATTCAAAAGACCTTAATCAAATATCTCCATGGCTTCAATGCCATAAAATGACACTGAATTTTCAGAAATCTTCATATATGTTTATACCAAAAAGGTCTATATCAATTGAGTCAAAAGATCTAATTAAA